TTCCACCGGTTGTTGGTGTTGTGTACGCTATTAATCTAACTAACTCTCTTTTTACGTTTGGCTGCGTTGTTACAGTAGATTTTTGTTGTCTTCCTTAAAAAAAACTTGCCAAAAGCAAATAACGGCAAACCAATCGAGCATACCGTGCTAGCTATGTGATAATGTCGTGCATTCTAAATGTGCGGGTTACACTGGCCTAGTGGGGGATGCTATTGCCCAACGTAATGGCTTGCACTATAGTTGCGTCCCGTGTAGGGAGATTGATGGTGAAATGCGGGCGTTTGTGCGTCAGACCAACAATGGCTTTAGAGGTCTGATTGTTGGTTTTCGCAAACTAAACGATCAACTCACAGCCCTGGATACCCAATTCAATAGCCTAAATCTGTTGTATGAGTCTCCAGGGCCGAAAAAGGCCACTCCTAGGGATTTGCCGTTGCTAAATACCCTTCAGCCACCCACTGTAAGATCATCTAGCTCAAGCCGGATATCTCAGAATTCTCAATTTTTACCTCAAAATTCACCACTTTCAGATGTGATCGAGCTTCCCGTATCGGAGGTGGAGTACTCATAGCTGTCGAGTCTACTCTTTCGTCCGAACGCATTGAACTGCCCATCTCAGATATCGAGTTGGTGGCTGTAAGAGTTGTATTTGGAAGTTTCTGTATCTTTATTTCATGTTCCTATATACCCCCACTATCTAACATATCTATTTACCAAAGCCAACTTAACACTATTAAATCTATCTCATCCCTACTTTCTGATAGGGACTTTTTAGTTGTTCTTAGGGACTTTAATCACCCAGATGTCGATTGGTCATCGATATTAGACTCAAACTTTCTGTTGCGCTCTTCATAAAATTAATTTATTGATGGTTTACATGAAATGTCCTTACGGCAGGTTAATTGGGTGCGCAATTCAAGAAATAGATCTGACCTGACTTTCGGGTTGGATTCGTTCGACAGTGTTGTGCACAGGATTATCCCGCTTACACTTCCTCAAGACCCTTTTCATCCAACTCAGGATATGGTCTTTGATCTACCAGCCCTAGTGCCTATCAAGGAATTGGAATTAGCTGATCGTGTCCATTATTTCTGAAAAGCTGATTCTCATAAACTAAATGATCTTATTCCGCAAGTCGACTGGTTTGGGACCATTACAATTGTGCAGACATTGATGTTGCCATTAAACTATTTTATGATACCTTGTTCTCGCTCTTTGATGTCTGCGTTCCTCTTGATCCCCCAGCGAAGACTTATAGGCCTCCCTGGTTCACAAGGGAACTAACGAGAGAGATTAAAAAATGTCTTATAAAAAGTTTAAGAAATCGGGAAATCAGTCTAATTTTTCCCGTTATGCAATTGCCCGAGCAAATTTTTCTACTCAAAATTCCAAATGCTATAAGGATTACCTTTGCCGGAAGCAATTTTTTAACTTTATCAACCCTAAGTGTAAGACATACATTCTGCAAGTTTGGAGATGAGAGCGCGAATACTGATTTCAGTAGGGCTTTCGAGTCCGTTAACCACTCTTTTCTGCTTCATAAATTATGACTTTTCGCCTTCCCAGTCAATCTCTTGAACTGGATTTTAGACTATTTGCGTTACAGAACCCAAAAGATTCTTTTCAGAAATCCGTTGTCTAAACGTAATCTGATGCCTTCCGGTATTCCTCAAAGTAGTCATCTTGTCCCGCTACTCTTTACTCTTTTCATCAGTGACCGTCCCTCGATACTGTGTAACTCTCGAGTATTAATGTATGCCGATGCATACATTTGCATAAAAAGATATGGCATCATGTTATCTTTTACAAGCCGACATTGATGCGTTTCAGTCTCGGTGTCGAAGCAAACTCTTAAATTAATAGTGCTTTAAATGTAAGGTAATTACTTTCTATAGAAGCCCTCTTCAATTGGTTTCTTACATCCTTACCGCTCGAGCGTGTTTACAGTACTTCTAATGAAGTTAATGATCTAGGTGTCATCCATGATCCTAAACTTAAATTCGATTTTCATGCTAAGACCGTGGTCAATAAGGCCAGAATTATTTTGGGTTTCATCAAGCGATGGACGAAGGAGTTTGACGATCCGTACACGCCAAACACCCTTTATATATCATTGGTACGACCTATACTTGAGTATGCCTCAGGTATCTGGTCACCACAAAATTCTATTTATCAAGACAGAATTGAATCTATACAGAAACAATTCTTGTTGTTTGCCCTTCGTGGTTTACATAAATTTTGCTAATATGAAAATCGCATTTAAAGACGAAAAACTCATCTACGTAATCGACCTCAAAAAATCAGATAACTGAATTTATGAACATTTACTTTTAAAACCCTTAAGGAAATTGAAAATGTAATTAAAATACGATATGAAAATGTAATAAAATGTAAAAGTGCCGTTTTTGCTATTAACAATCAATGTAAAAATATTATTAAAATATATAAAATCAATAGAACCAATAGATACAGGCATTATACATCTTACGACTTTAACGGCAACATTGCTATGAATGAATTACGTTATGAATTACAACTAATTTAACGATCATTTGTAATTAAATTAACTGTACATTAGGCATAGGAAATGATTTTTTTCCTTTATATAAAACCTTCAACTTTAAACCACTAGCAGCCGTGATCCAACTGGAGAGACCGTTAACGTCGATAGAAGAGGTGTTGTCACTGCAGCTGATGAGAGATCTTAATACCAAGAACACTGAGAGGATAGGTGTTTTACGAGCCAATTTCAAAGCAAACAGCATCACTAATCTTGGAGTAACATCCGGGATACCATTGATTTTCGTTGCCTATGCAATAAAACTTAAGCTGTGCAGGCAAACCACTGTTATTGAGGAAACAGCCACGCCCACTAGCAACGAATAGCGCCCAGACGAAACTGAAGCTTCCCAGAAAACCACTTAAACAAACATAGAAAAATCCACGATCTACTTGTTTTTCCTAACAATCGACCGGGACGTTCGAGATCACAGTGAGAGGAGTTAACATCTAAGTTACCCAAAATACCAACATTTGGGCAAGCAGCTTTTCTAAATTTGGTTCCCGCACATAGCTAGTCAACGTGGTGGGAAAAGCTGACATAAAGGTGTTGCGTATGCAACTTTAAGTGCACACGAGGTCAACGCGAAAGAAATGCGCACCCCTGCGAAATGCACCAATTCTGCATTTCCACATACGCAACAACATTAGCTTCTAATTTAAACGTTAATTTTAGTTTGGAATAACAACCCAATGTAAGCACTTAGTGCTGCCTATAAATAAATAAATATTTTTTATAACTTATAACAACCGAATTGGTTGATTTATATTAAAGGCAAACCATATTCAATTGCTAATGCATTGTCCAAAATTAAACTGAAAAAAATCATTTCGGTGAAGCCACTCAACATAGCGCAGACGAAGACAGTGGTGACCATTCAATTAACAGAAAGCCAACCAATTTATCAAAAAAACAAATAATTTTCATTAAATCCGATAAAAAAAAGATAGAACAATCGACTATTTTCGGCAATTAAATAATTACAATCCATTACGATAAAATGACCCCTGAAAAGGTTAAACTGTTCTTGCTTGATTATTTCATTACTAAAAATATCATTGTGACTGATGCAGTTTTTTAAGTCATCCAAACACCTCACAAAGAAATCATTAATACCTCTTACACTAAAGTGATCCGTAGTCTTATCCTATTAAAAAACGTAAGCTCATATGCCGAATTCAAAGAAATTATAATCCAACCACATGAAAAATTTCCTGGCATCCAATAGGTGACCGTTATTTTAAAAAATCATTATTTTCTAAATAGCCAACTGTTAATCCAAAACAAAGCACATAGACACAATTATGCCTTTTAAAATTACACCCAAACCTTAAAACTACGTCAGTTGCATAGACTAATATTCAAAACTTGCCACCCGTGAACAAATAAAAACAAAGGACTGGATATAGTGTAAAAAGGCACTTATGCGTATATTTATCAGTTATGTAAGCCCAAACTGTTAAAGAAAAACCCTTTTAAAAGAAACAAAAACGAAGAACAAATCCATCCACTACTTCAAAACACAGTTTAAGAAACGAAAGAAATGCAATCAAATCCCAATCCCACAGTTTTCTGGAGTACAATAATGATGTTGCTTCTGTTAATCACCATAGGCCACACACAACACATTCAAATAAATAACATCGGTACCAACCATGGCTACTTTCAAATAAACGAATTCAGATGAAAATGATCGAGTGGAAATTCAGACAAAATTTAGACAGTTGCACAAAATTCGATGTCTATCAATGATGTCTATCATTAATTAGCTTTTAATTTAGACATTAATTTAAGTTGGAAATAACAACTCAACGTAAGCACATAGTGCTGCCTTTAAATAATTAAATATTTGTTATACTATATATTCAAAAAGGCGTTTTTTCAATTTGGGTTGGACACCGAAGATAATTTGGAATTCATATTGGACAATATTTTATGATGTAAAAAGTTTAAAGCAAGGTCTATAAGCAAAAATATTATATTGACTGAGGATTAAAGATAATTTTGCAGTTGAGCACACTCAACCACATCGTTCTTACTTGTTTTTATATTGAAGAGAAGGCCGCGACAGTAATTACCACAGTGGACCCACAGTGCAAACCGCAACACACATAACAATGAACTGCAACGAGCAGAGAGCGACAAAAGGTCGAAAACCACGACAGACAAAAATACACAATTGACGCAATGTTGATGCGTCTATAGGGTCCAAGATACCTAATGTTTCTTGTAATCTGAACAAATCCATTGAACAAAATTTAAATGGGTTAAGGGTAAGAAAACAGTAAAGCTGTAATGTCATGCAAAGAAAAAAAATTATATATTCATTTTTATACCCTGAACCCATTAAAATGGGTAAAAAGGGTATTATGTATTTTGCAAATGTATGTAACAGACAGAAGGGAGCATCTCTAACCCAATAAAGTATATATTGTATGTATTTAAGTTTGATTGCCACAACTTCACTTATGTACAAGTATAGTTAGCTTTATTGTTTGTTTATTACCATTTATATAAAAAATATCTGTCAAACCTATTTTTAAGATTAGTTAAATATAACTGAATTAATATCCAGAAAATCAAACATTGGTATGACTCAAGTTATATCTTCTTGTAATTCATAAAAAACGGTTGATAGCTTAAAAACGTATTTTAAAATCGTCTATAATTTGAGTTTTGATGATAGTTGCCTCTATTTGACTGCCGGTTTTGAGGATTCCTCGATCCATTATAATTATTACGTTGTTGATAGTTTGAATCGGTATTTCTTTGATGGTATGATGCACTTTGATGTGGATAGTAACCTGCAATATATATAAAAAGAATTCAAATAAGAAATTGTAAATAAGCATAATTGTTGAAATCTATATATGCATATTTATAACAAGTAATAATTCTCACTCTACTCGGGGAATCCAGACTAGGACATACCCTAAACCCAGCGCCGAACTGCAACTCAATCATTCGAGCTTTCTTTTATATGCATGCACAAAAATCGTTCACAAATAATATTGGTGTTTTGTAGTCCGATTTCAATGAAATTTTAATTGCTTAAATGTGGCATACTAGTATGTGTATACCCAAAGCCCAGACTTACTTCTAAAAATATGTTTTTAGCTTTAGAACCTATATCATTTTTTGTTTATAGCTTCTTCAAGATATAATATATGGTCAAGAAACCTAATCTGAAAATCGATTATAATCGTTTCCATGAAAACAACGTGAATTATGGAGGATTTCAAATAAACTGTGCAGCTAATAAGGTCTCTTTCAAAATTTTAAGCAGACATTTTGCCATATTATAATTACACCCTTACCAATTTATAATTTCCGGGTATAAGAATCATTTGCCGCATTTTACGATCAATCATAACTTGAGAACGGATCGATCGATTTGTTTTTTAGTTTGTAATTTGCAACAGATTGTACTTGAAATACTTATCGAAGATTTAATTATTATAAACTTGATTTTACATTCAAATCAAAATGGATATTACTAAAGATCATTCCAGATTCATATTCATATGTCAACAAATTTGAGATACGTCATGCATGATCAGCGCTAGAAAACTAAGAAAATTTATTTCTTTGCCAACCAAAGCCTAAGCATTGAATAACAACACCTATATACATAATTCACACATGCATAATTCACACATACAAACATAGGAGCTTGCACGCCTTTGGCTGAGACAAGAACTTCTCTCGAGCATACACTGTACAAAAACTAAAGTGAAATCAATCTTTGTGTGCTATTTTTCTAACATAGTGCACAAGATGCTCTTTGTGAATAAATTATTTTATTCTTAATATTTCCGGTAATTTGAATAAAGCATGCATTTCATGGATAAAGCAAATGTACTTTGCGTCGATCTTAAGTTCAAAACTTTTTTGAACGAACAGCCGTCGGCATGCATGTCGTGTGAAGCCTCAAAGGCCAGATGTAAGGCCAGGCTAGAAATTGTGCGTCGCATTCAAATGTATGGGCGTTACTCATTTTAGTGTTTATATTGTCTTTGGTAATACCTTCAATAGTCAGGGACTAATAGACAAAAGTTCAAGTGGCACTGGAAGGTTTACATTTTTACATTTTTTACATTCTTCACACCGAAGAATGAATTATCTGACACTGGACGACGCGCCATTTGACAGACTTAACGATGACCTCGCACGATCACGTTAATTGTTTAGACACAACTTCCTCTATCTATCTCTGACGAACACAATGATTTTAGAAGCCAGGGAAAGAAAAAAAAAACATTCACGCTTTGGAAGATGCTCAGTTCGAAATTGCCACAATAAAGTTATCACTTATATACACTGTTGAATCAACAGAAAAGCCGCTCAACTGCTTTCGAAAAAAAATAATAGAAAGAAAGCAGAACTTTCTCGGATCGAACAATCACAGTTGGCAAATAACTCGACACGTCATAAATTTCTCAATAATGCAAAGGTTGAATAGCACAAAATATAAATTTCTAAACAGGAGATAAGGTCCTTGTAAAATCAAATAAAAGACAGGGAAATAAACGTAGTCGATGCGGACTTGGGGATCGTAGTCTTAACTAAAGATTATGTGACTACTAATTTTAGCCAATACAAAATTAAAAACTATCCAAATAAATATAAACACTTTACGAAACATTGCTTTCAAGAAATAAGATATTTATTTAAGAACTTGAAATTCTAATAATTAACCCAACCAATGATTTACAAAACATAGTTAACGATCGTCCTACAAAAAACCTTTACTGACTTGATGGAAATAGCCCAAAACAAGAACCGACTACGGGATACTCTGAAGCCTCCAACCCAGCTCGCGCTAGATGCTAATTTGCTTTAGCAGTTATATGAAAGGCTCGCACTACGAGCTTATTTGCTTTGGCAGTTATATGAAAAAAAAATAGTTCATGCAATAGGACTCGAACTTGTTACAGACCGCACTATATGCCACCGCCTTTACTCGAAAGCCATAACAGCAATTCACTTTTGCTGAGCAAAAACGAATTAATATATTATCACATGCGCACAGCACAGAACAAAATATAATCACAATTTCAATGCTGATTATAGAATTCAATAAAGACGCGCATGAATGTGTGTGTATATGTATTCTTGCAATTTGCGCTAAAATGAAAGATTCTTGATCCGTATATATTATTTTATAAGCTACATATCCAGTTTGGTTACTCTAGCCTTCAAAACCTAAGAGATTTGCTAAAAAAACACAATTTCGATTTAAATCAAATGCTTCGAAACGGGGCAAGTTATCGAATACCGGAAACAAACTCGATCTGCGCGGGGACTAGGAGAACCTACAGCTAAAATTTCAAGTCTCTAGCTCTTATAAGTTCTGAGATCCTTGCATTCATACATACGGACGGACGGACAGACGGACGGACAGACAGACGGACATGGCTAGATCGAATCGGCTATTGATGCTGAACACGAATATATTTACTTTATGCAGCCAGAGATGCTTCCATGTGCATGTTACATACATTTGCAAAAAAAAATTATACCCTACTTTTAACTATTTTTAATGGGGTCAGGGTATAATGAAATTCAGAGGATTGTTGATATTATGAAATGAGTATTACTTTTGAGTGTCAAATATTGTACAAAAAAAACCGTTAATGTTGTCAAATTTGAATGAATATACTCTATACACATGCTGCTTTCCAAATTTTCTATACACCAACGCAATAAACTCTCAATCAAACTTTCGTGCAATGCCATAACCATTTCGAATTAAATCAAAATCAAGACTTGCAAACCGAAAACGAGTCAAAATGTTCTTAATTTTACTTTTTAAACCTAATTGATTTTTTAATTTACCTTGCATTGGATGATTGTTATAATTTACGCAATTTCTTCCATTATTTTGATATGCAAACCTTTGTCCGTTGTCGATACGTTGTGTTCTAATGCTGGAGGATACAAGTCTTTGAGCGCCGGGAGGAATGTAAGCCCTTTGAGAATGGCCTCCAAAACCTAAAACATAGAAATCATAAATAAACAGTATTATATTATATGCCCGGCCAAGTTAGTTGCTTATCCCAAATTATCGCGTTTCCCACCAGTAATAAATTTAAATCCACCCGTACTATCTATCAAGACATATTTCGCATAAACATAATTAAATTAATTTGAAATCTATCGAATTACCAAAAGTTTTCACTGTTTTCTGATTATTTGATTTCCGTGGAGAGCATCTCAAAAACAAAAAAAAAACAAGTAAGAGGTTCTAGTCGGGACCTCCCGACTAGGGAAAACCCTGAACCCTCTTATTCGAACACCAACTGCAGCTCGCGCTACGCGCTCGTTTGCTTTAGTCGTAATAAAGATTAAAAAAAAAAAAATTCCCTAGGCAGGGTTCGAACTCGCCTCTACTCTACAGCCACACCAGCCAAAAAGAAAACCAATTTCCCTGGTAGGTTTCAGACTCGCAACAGTCTGGACTACTTGCCGCCGCTTCTACCCAAGTGCCACACCAGTTATTGAGTCTAGATGAGAAAAAAACGAATCTTAATGAAATTTTCACAGATCTTATTGTACTATAAAATATTCGTGTATTCTCAATATGACAATTGCATTTAAATTTTGGCTTTTATTAGTGGGCAGCATAAATTGATGTTTTCACTTGACTTTTAGCTTTGTGGTTGTAGCAGGGAGGTGGTGATAGCTATAAAATGACAGATAATTGATATATATATATGCATATACTATTCTAGAAGCGCAGGCACTAGGAGGACATACAGCTAAAATTTAAAGTCTCTAGCTCTTGGTTCTAAGATCCTTGCGTTTATACATACGGACAGACGGACGGACAGACAGACAGACGGACATGGCTAGATCGACTCGGCTGTTGAATATATTTACTTTATGGTGTGGGAGATGCTTTCTTCTGCCAGTTACATACATTTGCACAAAAACATTATACCCTTTTTACCCATTTTCAATGGGTTCAGGGTATAAAAATATTTGGCATATACAACCTTTGAGCCGTATCTTCCATCCAACAGAGTTGGATATTATGAAAATTAATTACAAATAATAAGAAATCTAGATAACAAGAAACAATGTAAATAAGCAAATTAAATTTGTCATGGCTAAGATGGTGATGACCCTCCCTAAACCACCCAATTAGAGTTAGACTCCGTTTTGATACAAATATGTAAACGTGTTTAAAGTTTAATTGGGATTCAAAATCATATAACACCTTGATCTTTTTGTGTTAATATTTTTGTTCATCTGGTTTTGTAATTCTTACTTTCTTCGTAAAGAGATGTTTTCTGACTGCCGCGTATAGACTAGCCTCATGATTTGTTTAATTTAATTTAGCTTAGGTATATTCTAATTTTCACCAAACATATTTTAGATCAGTGATTTATCAAGATTTTAATAAATACATTTTTCAAACTTAGGCTGACCGGATGAAAAATTTAAATGCTTTAAACAACTCTGAATAAATAGATGTGGGTCTTCGGTATTGTGAAAGATCCTTTAGTGTCGTCCGCACATATATTTACTATAATGCCATCTAGGCAGGCATAAACAACACTTCGCGATAAAACCTTTTGGCGGAAAAGGTTCACAAACTATTTTACACATAAGACTGTTTAAACTGACTAATAAAATAACTGACTGATTCGTGTCAAATTGTTAATTCAGCAAATGCACAAAAAAAACTGATTTTAACATTTGTTTTTCATAAGATCTGTCGTGTTTTGAAATTCTACCTGCAACTGAGGTAAATTGGCAGTAAACCGTAAACCGTTGAGTTCGGGTTTTATCCCCACCAACTGATCGGCTAAAACTCATTTTTAAATATATTAAATCCACTTCCCTAGGTGGAAAGTGGTGGTCAAGATTTAAAAGCGATCATCCGATCTGATTCTAATTCAGTTATCCATCACACTACTGGCCTTAAAATTATTTTTTTATATTTATCGCTATGCTAATGCTTGTGTCTTTGTCAAATGTATTTGTATTTGTTTTTATATTTTTGAAATAGTTGCTTTTGCATTTCTTCCTTTGTTTTTGAAACAAATCTCGATAATCCGCTAATGTTTTGTTATAAGAGCTGTACATAATAAAAGGTGAAAATGTGCTTCACCGATAGTAGAAAACCCACATAAAAAAAGCGATTGTGGAAAATCCACTACGCTGAGTAATGATGGGAGTTCAATAAAAAAATCGCTTTCTTTATACATTCATAATAATTTGGTAGTATGGTAGCATGTAAAAAATAAGAAACACCAGCTATCTTTGATGCGCCGAAAGTTAAGCTAAGCATAGCTTAAAAGTATTTTTAATGGGCGACAGATCAGCAAATAGCTTTAATAGAGTTGAGACCAAGCCAGAGCAGTGAATCAAAATAATAATAATAACAATTTTAAAGACAGATTGAAAATAACAATAATTTAAAATATTATGCACATATTGCAATAACAATCGTTATGAAATATCCCATGTAAATTGGTTTTATTTGTATTTTTCTGTATTTTTCTTTGCTGCAGAGAAGTTAGTATTATTATTATTTTGCAAATAACAGAACCAGATTTAAAAACAAAAAAGGAATAAGATAAAATATATAGAAATACACTTCAATTTATATTTAAATAATGATGGTTTTGCGCTTTGGCTGCTGCCAGTCGGTGCTAACTATTTAATGAAATCACATAAATATTAGCATCGACTTAAAAACATTCTACCATGCCAACCTCAGTATACAACATAGATAAGTGAATACAAATTTGAGATGGATCATGGATCATGGCGCAAGAAACCTAAAACATATAGCATCAGTAGAAAAGGCCACTGCAGTGAATAACGACACATTCGAATATACTTTGATGTTTGTATATTAACACACATGCAAACATTATTTCTTGCACGGCCCCCATAGATTCGAAGCTATTTTTAGCGTTTTCGCTCAAGGGTAGCGTTTTAGTTCATAACTTTGAAAAAATCAAATAAAGTATGTTGTTGTAGGGCGTTACTCATCTGAGTGTTTATATTGTCTTTTACCTAGCCCTGCTTGGGTCTTGAATATAAAATTTTTTACCGCGTCGATTTATTAAAAAGCGAACAGACAAACCAGGTTTTTGGGTACATTCTGGGATTTTTAGCTGGTTCCATATAATTTTGAAAGGTATACAACATTAATTAAAAAATTAATTACGTAAGCTTTTAACTAATTTTACACCTTGTAGGTGAATTTATTCAATCCACGAACTGTGTGTATTGTAAACCAAAAAGCCGTAGCAAAAAAACACTTAAAATATTTCTATATTTTCAGTAATATTTTACATAATTTATACAATTCTTATCTTTGAGGAGTAAATACGGGTGAGCTCAGCCAGCTGCAAAGCTCAGATATAAAAGGACTCTATTTCTTGTAATAAACTAATCAATAGCGAAACCTAAGTCGTCAATATAAGCAGAATCGACAGTCAAACTTTTGAAAATCTATCGCACACCTCACAACTAACTGTAAATATATCAAAGCATACACTATTTGCTTCGCTGACCAGCATTCAAGCCACGCAAATAATCAAAACAAATATTATCACTTAAAACGTATCAGATGAATTTTCACGAAGATCTTTGAAACTTATCTCGAAGACGATCGGACAGAAAAAAAAATTCATAGAACTTTTTTTGCGCGATTTTTTCTTAGTGTGTACCTTCATCATATTAAGTAACTAAATTGAAAATTACAGCTTCCTAACTCTTACGGGTTGGCTGTGCGTTTATCACCCATCAGTCAGTTAAAACAAACTGTTTTATATATACACTTTATAGGGTCCGAGATGTTTCCTTTACACACAATTAGAATACCCTATATGAGGGTATAAAAATACATATTATATTATGCAGACGATACCGATAATTGGTCCATTTTTGTTATTTTCCGAGTGTATAACTTGGGGAGGGTCCACAGCGTTTGGAAGCCTTTTAGCTAGGAAGGTGAAGTTTTCATCATACTTCGGGTCCTTAAACACAGCTGTTACAACTTCATTTTTTATAATATCAGGTAAGCCAGGTATTGGAGATTTCAAATGACTAGAATGAAAAAAAGAAAAAATTGAAAATGTTTAAAAGTATACAATATATGAGTATGAAATTTTTACACAATATCATGTTACAACGAATGGCACCATTAAAATCAAAACGTTTTTTGACTTATAATAGTCTTCAATTAAATGAGCGATGTGTATTTATATATTAAGTGAGCAATGAATATTAACGAATATTAACTTTCAAAAGCCAACAGCCACAACATCTAGTGTTGTAACGTAATAGTAATATGAGCTATATAATAAGCATTTTGTAATAAAATCAAGTTGGGCACTCTAAAAATGGAAGAGAGCACGAGGTGACAGCGACATATAAGAAAAAGAAGAAAAAAAAGTTTAAATATAGAAGATCAGGTGTGGGGTTTACCCAAAAGTTCGCTGATTAATGCTATACGCCAATATCAAGTCATCAAAATTAGAGCTTGTGCGGCTGCTTGCATAGTAAGAAGTCCCTGTGAGCAACGAAGCGTCGATATACCAGTTGCGTTTTCTGGTAAAATCGGGAGTGGCCCAGTACGTCAGGAGTTGCGGATCTGAATGCTAAAAATTTCGAGGCAGGACAATTCGACGAGCAGCCTGCAAAGCTGCATTTTGGAAAAGTGAGCCCTCTGGCCGAGTGTCCCTTATTTAGATGAATTAGCGACAGTAATGAATGAGATCACATTGAACACTGCTCGTAAAAATCTTGTTGAGCTGAGGGCATGTGTTGTCGAAATTAAAAACGGAGTTGTGGCACCCGATCCACGTTGCCGTGTGGATATCATTTATTTCAAGGCCACCGATTTCCAATGCTGTTCACGAAAATGCGACAAACTAAAAGGAGCTAAGCGATCTAGTCAATATATTAGGCCCTGCAATGACCATTCACGAGGTTGGAAAACGATTGCAAAGTCGCTTGATTGGAAAAGGAGGATAACTTTTAAGATATTTCATTGTCATGCGAAAAATTGCTCAGCAAGAAAATTTGAGAAAGCAGACGTTGTCAAGTACATAGTTGACGAACTTTGAGACCGTTCCAGATGCGCCGTTCCGTTGTGTTATTGCACCTCGTTGAACGAAATGCAAATGCAAAAAATTTTTATATTTCGGGCATCTTTCGTAGTTCAAATAGAGCATCTGAGCAAGGATTGTCTGGTTCAGTTATTTTGAATTGGCAAAATCGCTGCCATGGGTACCAATCATTCATGAAGGAAGCGATAAATCATTCATCCAATAAGTAAGTCTATGACTACTTTGTCAAGGAGGAAGCACAGAAAATAACAATATTTTTGAATGGTTAGACATCGGAAGCCCAGTAAGCTTTGCGACCAAATCACATCTAGCAATAAATACCCAAATAATGACTGAGCAGTAACCCAATTATGACTTATGGAAAGGTAAAGTGCTTAGGTTTATTTCAAGAAAAATATTATGAAACTGAAGTTTTTGCTATTCAAGACTTTACTTTACCAACACCGTTGATGCTCGCGAGAGATGTATTCAATATATTTAAACTTAAGCTTGTTATAAACAAAAATGTTGAAGAAAGTACAAATATAATGATATTGCAGCATTAGTACAGAAATCGTGTAATGCATCCCTGTTTGCCAAGGTTCTAGAATATAACAAGAATGTAACAACACCAAATACAGCTCGCGCTACGCGCTCGTTTGCTTTAGTAGTAATAAAGATACATTAAAAAAAAAAGTTTCCTTGGCAGGGTTCGAACTCGCAACTAACTTTCCGCCGCCTCCGACCAACAGTCACACCAAACAAAAAAAAAAATAGTTCCCTCGGTAAGGTACGAACTCGCTACAGACCACACTACTCGCCGCCGCCTCTATCCAACAGCCACACCAATACTTAACTCTTAATGAGAACAGAACCATCTAAAATAACATACAGAAAACGATAATTGCAATGCTTTTGATAAAATTTCAAGAATGAATGCGCATGAATGCGTGTGTGTACATGTATACAGAAATTCTTGCAATTTGCGCTTGCTGCCGTAAACACGTAGGCTGCCAAAACATTTTTTCTTTCGTGCTTCTTAGCCTATCTTGATGAAATATTCTACAGTACATATTGTACTAGAGAATATTCGAGTATTATCAAAGAGTAAATTTTATTTAAATTGTGGCCTACATTTTGGGCATAAATTGGTTTATTTACTCGATTTATTGCTATGAGGTAGTAGCGGGGAGGTGGTGATAGGCTTAAAATTAATATACTTGATATATATATATATATACTATTCTAGAAGCTACATGTCAAGTTTGGTGACTCTAGCTCTTATTTACAAAAATTGCTGAGAAAAAACAGGAATCCTATATCGATTTTTATCGATTACTTGGAAACAGGGCAAGTTATCGAATATCGGAAATAAATTCGATCTGCGCGGGGACTAGGAGAACCTACAGCTAAAATTTCAAGTCTCTAGCTCTTATAAGTTCTGAGATCCTTGCGTTCATACATACAGACAGACGGACGGACGGACGGACAGACAGACAGACGGACAAGGCTGGATCGACTCGGCTGTTGATGCTGATCAAGAATTTCGATATCAATTTTTATCGATTGCTTGGAAACGGGGCAAGTCATCGATTAAGGGAAGCCAACTCGCACTCGTATTGCGTTCCTACATGCGGACGGACGGACTGACAGACGGGCAGAATATACAGACTTTATGGGGTCGGAGATGCTTCTCTCTGCATGTAACATACATTAGTACAAATACATTATACCCTTTTTATCCATTTGTAATGGGTTCAGGGTATAAAAAAATATGCATTAATGGATGGAAAAATAAGAAACTATATGAGACAATTTTCCCTTGCCTCTAATAGAGGATTGTATATCTTAGGTTGCTGTGTAGCCTTAAAAACGGCCCATCGTTAATTAGAGAATTCACTTTTAATGTGTTAAAATATATATGGTAGGGTGGTCCCGATCCATATGGTCTATACGGATGATATTAATTTGGCTGCTCACACCATTAAGGAATACCATGATATTTACATTTTTATATTATCTTCTAAAACAACGGCACTTTGCAGCAGAAGAAATTTTATCGAGCGATGAGCTTTGAAACTTTGAAACTGAGTTAGGTAGACTAATAATATATTATATCCCTTACTGCTCCCGGAAGGTAGCCGAGTCTCGTTACCACAGATTTTTGCTTGATACGCTAGCCATAATCTATGCTATACCTCGATTTGGTGGGCATCCAGAAGACACACACATTACCGATTGCAATTCCCCAGTTTAAACCTTGAGTAAAAAATCTTTAACTAAGTAGGCAAACTGAGAAAGGACACTAAGGGCACCATCGACTAGTATGTAATACCCCATGCTCATTAAACGGAGAACCTAAACCTGTGAGCCTGTGTTATGTCCTTTCGAGAAGTAAGGTGCTGAATTATTCCGAGCAGAGTCCTTCTAATCTGGTAGACTTGAACAATGCTGATATTATAGCCCGTAATAAAATAATAAAAGAACAAAAGAAACTGTGGTTGGAATAGTGGGAGCTACTCCACAAGATATCGACGTATTATTACAGACCGAACAAATGAACGATTCGGATGTATCTATAATGCATGAGAAATTAGAGAAATATAATATTACCTCACCTCCCGGTGAGGAAAAGTTGTGTCAGTATGCACCCGATCGTATGCAGAATAATTTGGTAAGTAATTCTTACTAGGAGTTGGGTCGTCTTGCTGCCGAAAGGTGTGCTAATGATCTAAAAAGAAAATACTGGTTACCCTTACCCTAAATTCCCTTTGATACACTTCATATTGAACTTTTGGGTCCACTGACCATTTAGGCCCAATGTCCACTATTATTTCAAAACGAAAGTATTGATTATTAACTAGCGGGTACAACCAGGCCTTGCTCGTGGCACGTATGCTATAAAAGAACTGTTCTCAAAAAGCTTTGAAACTGATCGGTTACCAAACAACTTTCATACAAACGTTTTCCGCCAATTTACACTGTTACGGGTGAAATTTCCCTGGTTTCTGTGAAAAGTGTGAAACACGTCTCAAATGATTTTTCTTATAGATCTTTGGAAACGAATTTGAGCGCGAAACGTCACCCACCAAATCTTTGACCTCCATTTCCTCCAAGGAGGAATTGATTTTCCTAAAAGTGTAAAACACCCCTCAAATGAATTTGAACAAAGATCTTTGAAAATAAGTTCGTTTTTCCCGATTTTTCCAATTTTCCGATTTTTGCGGGTGGAAAATCCCGAAACCCCGCTTAACGTGCACCTACACCACATAAAGTAACTACAGTGAAAATTTCAGTTTCCTAGCTCTTACGGCTTGTGCTGTGCGTTGATCACCAATCAGTCAGTCAGGACAAACAGTTTTATATATAGAGATTATCGATGCGTTTACTATATTCGTTAAATTATACACGGTTTATTCTACTGGTACTAAAGAAGTAAATGTCTCATTGGAGAAATACCTTCAATAAACTAGCCGCGCGAACGCATTGTTTTACAACGTACGAGCAGGTTGAACGTGTTTACCGTGTTACTGACTGGGTTCTGAGTGCGTTCTGACTTATCTGAACCACTGAATTAATCTGACTGATATAAGTTGACAAACCATGTTGAGTTTGCATTCATAATTCGAAACTATTCCTATTCGGCTGTGATCAGCGTGGGCCTTTAGTAGACGAGCTGAAAAAATACCTTGGAGATTGTTTCTTTTTTTTTGGGATTAAAAACTTTTATTTACATCTTATATGCTTTTACTGTAGCTTAGCAACTTTCATCAGCGTGAAAATAGTTTCGACGAACTTCTTAAATTAAATAACATTAAAAATGAAGCAAGTGCAAAAATGCAAAAATCGCAAGAACGTAATAAAACCCAAAATGATTTAAGATATAGGGCACCTTCCCAATATATAGTAGAAGGTATTATTCTGAGTTGAGTATGAAGTTGAAGTCATCAGTCGACGTCTCCTCATTTGGCCTGCAATAGACTGATTCAAAGTCTA